TTACATTTTTTCATTTAATACATATATATTTGTTTTCAAACATGTAATTAAATCAAATATATGAAAATGTTGCTATTAAAAAAATCAAACATGATCATAGATCCTGTAAATATTTGATAACTATTATTATTAGAGATAAACTTGAAGTTTTAGTCTTAGGTAAAAAAAGAAAAATGATACATTTTTTTAAAACCGACTTGAACTATAAAGTGTTTTTTTTTTTTTTTGATTAACATGGATATTTAATTCGCTATGCGAGCCGACTAATCTCAGGGCAAACACCTGCTTTGCAGATAGTCCGGAGTCAACACATTTGAACCTCCGTGGCCACAAGGGATTTTTATTCCTCTTTGCTGGATTTGAACCTGATATCTTCTGGTACTTTTGAACTTTGGAGCCAAGCTCAAACCAATCAGAAGCCACCCTTGTGGTTAAAGTGTTATTTTTTTTTTGTATTAATATAGATGGATTTACATGAAAATATCGAATAAATTCCAAATACTTATAAAAATATTTAATATTTTATTTATTTCAAAGGTATTGAAAAAACTTTTCTAATGATGTAAATATAAAATTAAATACATATTTTTAATGTATTTTTAGTTAAAATATTATTAATTACTTTAATATGATGTAATTTTAAAAGGGTAGAGAAGTAAAAGAGAATAAATAAATTTAAAAAAATATAAAATGTAAATTTGAACTTAAAATTAAAACACCCAAACAAAACCTTTTGATGAACCAAATGAATTAAAATAAAAACCTTTGTTAAATCACAGGACTAAAATCACTAAAGAAACAAAAATTTTGGATAGAGAAAATGTATGGATGAGAGTGTACAACGTTAACCACAGTTATAATTATATATGTTAATTATTAAAATAAAAATTATGTATAAATATTTTATTGGTGGGACAGGTTTGAAATAGACAAAAAGGAGACCAACTATTTTTTTCAAATTCAAACCCTCGTTGTTGTATTTAGACATTGATTAAACGTATCATTCGATTCAAATAGGGTTTTAATCAAAAAGGTTTTACGATTTATCTATACTATATTATAAAACATTTGATAAAAACTTTTAAAAATTATCTTTTATAAATTTACATAAATATATCAGATAAATTGTAAGCAATTTTAAAAATATTTAATATTTTACTCACAAAAAATTTCTAATAATGTAATATTTTCATATGTGTTTAATATTTTGCGTATGTTTAATGATTTTTTAGTTAAAATGTTATTAATTAATTTAATATAATGAAATTTTAAAAAGGTAGAAAAGTAAAAAGAAAATGTTATAAGAATATAAATTGTAAATTTAAAATTAAAACTGAAACACAAATAATTGAATAAATCCCATTGATGAATCAAAGGGATTAAAATAAAAACCTTCGATAAATCCCCCAACTAAAATCACACTTTTTAACCAAAGATAAAAAAAATTGGATTTTTATGGAAAGAGATGGAAGAAGAGTGTAACTTAACCATCATTAAAATTGATCAAAAAATTAGATTTCTTACGTTTTTTACGGTATCTTTTTTTCTTGCACGTTCCTTCGCCTATAGGGCTCATAACTATATATTTGAAAACTACAGAATATGTTTGATCACTTATATTATTAATTAACTAGAAGCGTACTCGTGCAATGCAGCGAGAGATTTTAATATTTTATTTTATTTTTTATTTCAGTCGATTTTATAATATGTCTTTATGTGATTTTGAGAAAACGATGATATTTTAATATTTGAATAAAATATATGTTTGAAAATATCATAAAAATTTGACAAAAATATATCGATATTAGTATCAAATTAACTATTTGAAATTC